TCTAACTGTCTGTAGCAAAGAAAAACGTTTCCTGCGCACATAAAACATAAATTATTTAACCAAGACAACGACAACAATGGCATAGAAATATATTTTATATGGCTTTTCGTTTCATTTTTTTTTTTTTTTTTTCGGGGGGCTGCTCGCTCGATAGGGGGCGGCTGGGCTGGATGGGTGGCTGTGTGTATGTGTGTGTGTGTGTGTATCAGTCTTATCAGCGTCGAGCATAAAAATTATGAAACACTTTCGCTCATTGACTTCATTAAATTATTTTGTATTTATTTTGTGTCGTCTCGCTGGAACATTTGAAACACCTTTTTCATACCCATTATCGGGATGTGCAAAGGAGTATATTGGTTTTATTGTGCTACTCTTGAAATTTACGATACGTGCTCTATAAATGCTCTTTGTTTATTGTTAAATATTTTGTATATTTGAGCTTTATTTCTTTCAAGATTGAAGCTGAAGGCCAATACTATATAATTTTTTGATGGAGATCATAAAGTACTTAAGATAAGTGGGTTATGGATGTATTTGGAAGGTGTGTAAAAACTCTGAATAGTAGCTATATCTAGTCTATATCTAGGACATGACTAAAGTCACAGACTCTGCAGCTTGAGAGCTACAGCTTCAGATTGAATGGACTGGAGATCTCTATCTCTCTCTCTCTACCTCTCTCTCTCTCTATCTCTCTCTCTCTCTCTCTCTCGCTCTCATCTTCATCTTCATCTTGGGATCTACCAAAAGTCCTTCAGCGTAAATGAGTATCGGGCAGTCTATAGCACCCTCTTTGCCCCAGCACTCGCTTTGCGTCTCATTTTTCGCACTCGAACCCTCAATTGAGCATTGGCATCTGCATTTTCGTATGATGTAAGCTCGGGTTACGCTCCGAAACAATACAATACCAAAAGAAATATATCAAATTCTTGGCCAAGCATTCTGCGTCTTGGCAATTTGACACCATTATTTCGTTGGCTTGGGCCAGAGTAGAGAGCAGGGCGAAATTAATTGATTCGCTTTGGCTTTTTGGCTGGCAATTGCGGTCAGGTGATGGCATGGCTCGATTCGAATTGAGAAAACATTTCATCAAGTGCTTTCGACGGCTCGCCTTGGTCAATCTATTAAATGTGACTTTTCTAGGGCCAACTTTTGCCGCCTTCCGCTCTCCCTTCCTACCTCCCTCCCGCCCTCTCTCTTTTACTCTGTTGCTGTCTCGTTTTCAATTCAATCAAACTTGGCAGGAAAAACTTTACGACACACTCATAAGGCAAACTCGGCGAGGGCAAAAAGAGAAAGAAGTGAAGTAAGGAAATGAAAAACGTGCGGCATATGAAGAAGTAGAAGAAGAAGCAGGAGTAGGGACACCAGAAGTAGCAGAGCAAGACGCAGGCGCCACGTACTATAGACCAAAAAAAACAAAAAAAAAAAAGCAAAAGGAACCAAACGCTTTGCATAGAAAATGCGCACGAGAGGGACAAAGCTGTGGAGGAGTGAGTGAGCAGGAGGAGGCAGAAAGAGGGTGGAGTAGGTGGGCTCGCTCTGGTTGGGTTCGCTGTTTCGGCGGCACCGACAGGAATAATAAATATTCAGTTTAAGTAAATGGGCTTTTATCGCACATCTCTGGGGTGCCATAATTTGCCATTTTTGCCTGGCAGTCTGCGCGCTTTTCTTGCGTTTCCTTCGCTTCTTTCCAAGAGGTTTTCCTTTTGGCTTCACTTCTTTTTTTTCGGGCGCCACACACTTGCAATTTGGCTGGGAGGCAAAATGTATGTAATTGATTCAACAAACGGCGCAAAGGTGCCAAGAAACAAAGCGAAAACTTGGCGACGCCAAGCAAAACGAAAAAAAAAGCAAAGAAAAAAATAAACAAAAAATAAAAAATTTATATATACTTCGGGGGCAACAACAATTATACGCATAATATATTTTCACCATAAATGTGTGTGTTTGTGTGTGTGTGTGTGTGTGTGTGTGTAAAGGCCTTTGACTGGGTCTCGGTTTCCAAGTTTGGCTTTTAATGCAAAAAATTACAGTTCAAATGATAAACAAAGTGCGATATCAAAGCAGAGAAGCTTAGACTAAAGGATACCCTGTAAGTAATATGAAAAAAAAATTAAGTTTCTATGATTCCTGAATGAAACTAAATATTCTATTAAAAATACATAAATCATTTCAGGCCCAACAAAATCTTCTGTTCACTCTATCTGCATCAAATTGCATTAATTAATATCAATCAATATTAAACTCCAACTATTTTAGTCAAGCATCATCAATCTATATCAATATACGACAATCATCATTAATCTGTATCAAATTGCATCAATTTGCAGCAATCTCTAACAATTTGCATCAATCATCATCAATCTGTGAAAGTCTTACATCTGTATCTGCAAAAATCTGCATCAAACTCTATCAATCTGCATAAGTCTACGAAAAGGTATTAGTTGCTATCAATCTACATCAATCTGTAACAATCTGCATCAATTTGCATCAATCTGCATCAGTCTTTAAAAAGTTCTATATCAATCTGCATGAATTTACATCAATCTTGATAAATTTCTATATCAATCTACATCAATTTGCATCAATATCTATATCAATATGCATCAATATAAATAAAATTCTATTTGTCTGTCTTCTAGCAATTTTCATCAATATGCATCAATCTTAATAAAGTTCTATAACAATCTGCATCAACCTGCATCAATCTTGATAAAGTTCTATATCAATCTACATCAATATCTATATCAATCTGCAGCACTCTGCATCAATCTGCATCCCCCTGTATTACCCTGCATCAATCTGCATCAATCTACATCAATTTGCATGTCTATTTCCATCATTTCCAACTTCTTCACACATTTACAGGGTATCCGCAAAGCAAAGTCATGCTCACGCTTTGCCGACCCTTGTCTCTCCGTTCCTCCTGCTGCCCGTTCGTCTGGGTCATAAAATAAGAGAGAGAATTTTCTTCAATTTCTTTTTTTTTTTTTTTTGCGGCGGCAGCGGCAAATCACTTCAGCGCCTGGCAGCAACAATTTAGCTCATTTATTTTTATACATTTTAAGAAACAATAAACCGACGGCCCATAAAACACGCAGTTACAAAATGAAAATGATTTAAGACAATGGCCAGGCGAGGCCAAGGCATGACTCCTCCCTCCCTACTCCATTCTCCTCTCTCCCTCTCAGTCTCCTCCCCCCCCTCCACCACGACCTCGACCTCGACACATGAATTATACGTATTTGGGCAAAAAGTTTAACATTATAATTGCAACGTTTTATGATGCCAGCGCGAGTTCTATGTGATTTACGGCAAGTTCTCCATATATTTCAAGCGCGACCCTTGCGCAATTGACAACCAAAGCAATTAAATGGCAAAACTCTTGAATGAAAGCAAACGAAAGAAGGTAAGCCGAGACAGGTGTGTGCATGGCTTTGACTAGCTCTAATTGCTTCATACGAGAGACAAAACAGTGAGACAGAGTTCTCTATAAGCGCTATCATATCAACTTTTAACGAGCTCGCAAAACCGTAAACTAAATATCGAACTGCACAAATGGGGCAAAGCTTTTGATGGCAAAGTTAAGCTGAAGCACAAAGGACGAAAGGCAGAAAAGAGAGGCAGATTGGAGAATCGAGATGGAATTTTAAAGATTCTATTACTAAAGAACTAAACTAAGAGAATAGCTTGCAATATGTTAAAGATGAGTTATCATGAGAGAGATAGATGTGGGCTAGAGTTAAGGTAGAGTTGAGTTAGAGCTGAAAAAAAAGATGATTTGAGCTAGACTTGAGCTAGGGTTTATAATGAAAGATAAAAATAAACATTGAGCTAGACTTAAGCTAAAATTGAGGTATAGAATATAAGGAAAAATATAGATAATAATTGAGCTAGGCTTAAGCAAGACTTGAAGTGGAGTATATAAGGAAAGATAGAGATAGGTAGAGTAAAGGATAGACAAATATGAAGTACTAAATAAACTCTAGCTCAACAAGTTGAATCTAATTAGTATATATGTATACGAAAACGTATTCCGGAGGACAATGGACAACTTAGGAATAGAATGTCTGAAAGCAAGTGAACATGGATGGTATAAAATGTAGCCCATATTGACGAAGGTGAGAATAAATGGATTTATTCGGTATGGTATGGTAAGGTTTAGATTGATGTTCATAATTGAAGCGAAAACTCATAGGGTATACTTATAAAAAATGAGATTTATTTCAAAGAAAGAGTCCATAGAAGACGGAATAAAAATTA